TTTAGTTGACTGCTGTGATGTGAGTGAACATGACTTACACACTTAAATGGTTCTTTAAGGGTTCTCTAGTGCAGAAAGTGGTTCTATATAGAACCACAAACACTGAAAGAACCCTACGCATGCTTAAAGGTTCTTTGCAAGGTAACGTTCTTCAGATTGATGGAGAATGTGCTGTATATGGTTTTTCATGGATTTTTTGAGAATAGTTCTATATAGCACCAAAAAGAGTTCTGCTACTGTTACAAGCTTGACATCTTACACAATAGCAGAACCCTTTTAGGTACTATACAAAACCAGAACACATTTTCCATCAATCTAAAGAACCATTTTACCATGTATGTGTGTTGTGATGTGTTGTAGATGGTTTTATATAGAACCTTTTTGAAAGAGGCAAAATGGTTCTTCTACTGATCCAAGCTTGACATCATAACAACAGAAGAACCCTTTTTGGTGCTGCATAGAACCATATACAACGCATTCTTCATCAATCTGAAGAACCATTTCATGATGCAAATCATGCAAAGGGTTCTTTGAGTGTTTACAGTTCTATATATAGAACTATTGTCATTACTACAGAACCCTTTTTTAAGACAGTAGTTTAGCTTGAATTGAGAAATGCATGCAGAGGGCAGTGCACTGTAGTGGATTTGCATACAGCAGGTGTGTAAACAGGTTCAAACCAAACAGACGGGCAGTGCACACATACACACACATACACACACACACACACACACACACACACACACACACACACACACTGATACTCTCAGAACCGGAGATGTGCAGAACTGTCCAGAAGCAACAGGCCAGATTTAACAAATAAAAACTGATTAATCGCAAATCACACTGGACTACAGAACTCAGTGTGTTCATATTACAGGGGAACTCCACCAGTTTTTCTACATTCCCCCATAACTCAGTGTGTGAGATGTAAACAGAGAGATTCAGAGTGGTTTGTTGTGAAATGGTTCAGATGTCTTTACAGTGGTGGTGATGGGAACCAGGGGTCGCCATGACTACAACACAAATATAGACATTTTATTTACTATCCAGAACCACCAGTGAACCTACACGAGTCTTCTGAGTTTATATGGAATGTTGATGATGAAAATAGTGGAAAATCTGAAATAATAAGTTTTCTTTGGGGACTATTTTGCCTCACAGCGCCCTGCATGTATCCCTCCACCATGAATGGAGTTTAAGTTCTCCAAACTATCATAAAACAGTGAATACTGACATTAAGAACTTATTAAATGCTAAAAAATATACTATAATTATGTATTTAATGATTTACATAACAGGATTATGTTTTATATAACATTTTATTTTACTGAAAACAGTAAATCTATGTAAATAAATGTTGAACTATAGTGTAAACAAACAAACAAACAAACAAACAAATAATCAAATAAATAAATTAGTTATAATAAGTTAGTTGGATTAGAGGGGATGGCTGACAGCGGAATGAGAGACATGAATGAATGTACTTACCGTCAGCTAACAACAGAGCTGTAACAGAGAGAGAGAGAGAAGAGAAGAGAAGAGAAGAGAAGAGAAGAGACAGATGGAGAGAGGTGGAAAGAAAGAGAGAGAGAAAAGAGAGATGAAGATGGAAGGATGAAACACAATGAATGAAATGTCATTCACATAAACACAGAAGCAGAGAGAGAGAGAGAGAGAGAGAGAGAGAGAGAGAGCATGCTGATGTGGAGGGGTCAGAGGTCAAGGCCTCAACACTGAGAAGTGTTGTTATAACTGCAGTTATCCGATTATTCAAATGGTCATGTAAACACCACACTCCGATCTAGAAATCCGATTAAGAAATCTGATCTTTCGGATTTCTCAGTCTGTGCGAGATCAGACGGTGGATGTCGTGAGACGCTGAAACCAAACATGAAATAAAGGATTTAAATATTCTTCATCTTTTAGATGATGTATGTTCATATTTTCAGGTAAAGTGACGCGATGTTTTAAAAAAGCCGCTGCATGAATTTTGAGTTTTACATTATGTTTATGTCGCGTCTTCTTCTGTGAGTTTATCGGCTGGTTGTAAAGCAGAAATCTGTCTGACTCATGTAGACCTGGAGTTTCCCCATTATCTGATTACTCAAGAGTATGTGAACGTGTTGATCGTATTACTGGCAAAATCTGATTTTCTGCGGTTATCGGATTGTTGAGGGCACTCAATGACACACATACTGTCCATCAAAAGTTCTTTTCCTTCTTTTTTCTGATTGATGTTTGATTTCTGCAGAGACTTTTAGTGTAATTATTAAGTAACAACATATTAAATAATACTCAGTCAATAAAACACCTGAACAGGTTTAGTTTATGATAAAGGGTCCTCTTTGTATGGAGAGCAGGTTTTGTCTAAATAACAAATAATAATTTGACCGTTTCCTTTTCCGAACTGTTGTTAAAAGCTTGTATTGAAACTCTTTTGGTCCAAATGTGGTTTAAACACCTGGAAGCTTTGAGTGCTGACATCACAACAAGGGGAAAAGTGGGCGTGTCTTTGGCTCTATCCCCCGTCATTAATATTGGCATTACTTAAATAAACCTGATTATGCTTTAATACGGTAACTAACAAAGAAAACAGTACAATTAGTGTTAAAACATTTTAAAAAGCTAAGTGTCTCCAAACTAATGTTCTGTAGTGTTTATGAAGGTGTGATAGAGGAGCGTGGAGATAATGAGGGGTAGTGTGGATTTTAGCTCCTCAGAGAGCAAAAATCACCTCTTACATCTGCAAACCTCTCACTGACACCTGATTATTTATTTTGGACTCTGCCTCATTAATAACCAAAACAAATAAAAGACTAACTGGCCACTTTATTAGAAACACCTACCTTGTGCTTCCCCTCACTGGCCACTTTATTGGAAACACCCACCTTGTGCTTCTCCTCACTGGCCACTTCATTGGAAACACCTACCTTACTCCTCTATGCAGGTAAAAGTGAGCAACATAACAATATCACAATCCTCATTTCTACGATAAACAATATGCCACAATATTTAGTTTTTCTGCAGTTTGCAAAAAATGGAATGAATAAAATGCACAGGCAAAACAGCACTGCTATGTTTTAAAAAAGACTCTAAAAACTATGAATACCAAGTAATATTTCTTATTCAGCGTTTGCAAAAATAATATACGTATATTACATGTACTGGTAAAAATGAATGAATTAATTAATACTGCAGTTTATGCAGTTCCTGCCACCAACAACAGAATCAGACACAGACTAACAGAACAAGAAACAGGTGTTGGGAATAACGAGGGGGCGGAGCCACAAGTGCTGGGGGGGCTGTGATTTTTTTTAGCTACAGCGTCATAAGAGCTACACATTCAATTCTGTCATGATTAACAAAAAAATCGGTGCATCAATGCAATTTGGCTTACAGTGTAAGTGAGACAGAAAAAGAGAGAAGAGGGAGAAGAAAAACATCTCTCTCTCACAAAAAGCATTCTCTCTTCTTTCTCTCTGTTCGTTCTCTCTCTCTTGCTTTCTCTCTCTCTGTTCTCTCTGTCTCCCTTTGTTCTCTCTCTCCTCTCTCTCTCTCTCTCTCTCTCTCTCTCTCTCTCATATCCAGCAGTTTAATTTAAATCTATTACACTGTGCTGCTGGCAGACAGACAGCACCATGGCAACAGTAACCAGAGAACCAGCTAACGGGATCACACACAGCCTGTGTGTGTGTGTGTGTGTGTGTGTGTGATTAAACACTGATTATATCAGTCGTGCCATATATCAATATCAAACATCATTAAAATCTACAATTAATCCGCTGTATTACTTCACCTCCAGCTCTGCAGAGCACAGCTCACTCAGAGAGCGACGCTGAGAAGATTATTTAACCATAAAAATGATCCAAAAAACTGCAGCTTTCTGTTAAAACTTTATTTTGTTTTTATCTGTTTTTCAGTCAAGGCCAAAATCACCCGCTGGTTCAGTCTCCCTACAGCACAACGCTACCACGCCACGGTAAACGCGAGCACATGCTACACAAAAGTATAGGATGCAGATTTTGTTTCTCTTTTTTCTATTATAAATATTTCATGTATTTTATTTATGCACTTAAACTGTAGCTGAATGAATCTTGTGGCTTAGTCTGACTGCAGTCCAGCCAGTCTAATATGATGTGGCTAGGCTAATAACGTTAGCCACAGTGAAAACAGACAGTTAACGTTTATCTTTAAGACTACAGGTCACCACATTTCTCTGAGTAATACAGTACAGAAACAATGAAGTACAGTAAGATGTCACAGTGTGTTTACATGCACTCAATAATCTGATAACTGCAGAAAATCAGATTGCGTCAGTAACTAGTTCAGTGTGTTTACACTCAATAATCTGATAACTACAGAAAATCAGATTGCGTCAGTAACTGGTTCAGTGTGTTTACATGCACTTAATAATCTGATAACTGCAGAAAATCAGATTGTGTCAGTAACTAGTTCAGTGTGTTTACACTCAATAATCTGATAACTACAGAAAATCAGATTGCGTCAGTAACTGGTTCAGTGTGTTTACACTTAATGATCTGATAACTGCAGAAAATCAGATCGTGTCAGTAACTGGTTCAGTGTGTTTACACTCAATAATCTGATAACTGCAGAAAATCAGATTGTGTCAGTAACTGGTTCAGTGTGTTTACACTCAATAATCTGATAACTGCAGAAAATCAGATTGCGTCAGTAACTGGTTCAGTGTGTTTACACTTAATGATCTGATAACTGCAGAAAATCAGATTGTGTCAGTAACTGGTTCAGTGTGTTTACACTCAATAATCTGATAACTGCAGAAATATGATAATGATCGGGATATTAAGTGCATGTAAACGCACTCAGTGTGACAGGTTTGCGGGATCCTGTAGCCTTAGGATTACGACTCTTTTTTAGAGGGGTGGGTGTAGACGGGCAATTGCTTAAACATTTTTCAATAATGCCTTAAAAAACTGAATATACTGTAAAAAAATCCATATATGGATTAATATACATATATGGATTAATATACTTCTATCCACTTTCATTGATAACGATTTACCTAATGCTATTTTGTGCTGTGTTAATCTTTAGCTACATTAGCCTCGTAGCTCCTGTGCAAACCTAGGTCTGGTGACCACGGCAGCACTGACACCGAGATTACTGAGTCTCCTTTTGAATGTCACTTATGATTTATGTATGATAATTTATGTGGAATAATGGGTTATCCCAGACAGTAAGAGGACACTGGCATTTTGAGCTCCCACTGGCATGAAAAGTGCTATTAAATAAAGATTATTATTATTATTATTATTATTATTATCATTATTGGACCCCTGTTGGTCTACTGGTGGCAAAGCTGGTGGCCCACTGGCTTTATGCTCAGCGTTTTCCAGGCAGCCCACTAGCGGTTAAAGCAGGGTGTTAGACAAAATGCCAGTTTTCATCACTCATTTTCTGCTCACAGTCCAATGTACTTTTTTATTCATTCCTTTCTTTTATTATCCTTTCTAAATACATTTAGTAAAAAATGTATAGCAATATCATAAATAAAGCCAGCTATACAGCTGTAATCAATCCAACACGGTGTCACACGGCAACATTTTCAACTAAATCATTTTATATCAGGCCTAGTCATGAATCGTTTTCTCTCAGTAGTTTGTAATAACTGTCTTAGTTTATTTTCCAAAATAAAAGTCTGTGTGCATTTAAAATCTGTTAGAGAAAATTAAAACTAGTTAGACCGTGTACGCAGGACAGCAGTCTGGGTGGTCCGAGGGTGGTGTACAGTCGCCTCATCAGGCCAGTGGACTGACATACGCTCACTGTCTGGGGAGACTTTTGGCTGAACTATCACTTTAATTCATCTTTGTTAACAGAGCAACGAACAGTCTTTTCCTTTCTTTTCGCCTTCCGCTTTTCTTTTTACTTTCCGTCAGGAATATAAATCCCCCAAATCCCTTCTCGGTGTGCGTGTGGTAAGAGTTCATCCTGGTCTTACTGTGAAAGTGCACAGCCTTCTGTCTGAATACTAATGAGACAATTAGCGCTGGGAGCAGCAGGGGCTGTGATGGAGGGGGGATTTCCTTAAATATGTCAGGAGACTTCAGAATTAGAGCTGAAACTGAGACTATTCCACAAATTTAGGTCTGTTTCTTCCTCACCGGAGGAGCCGATTAAGCCGAGCGTACACGGCAGCGCTTATAAAACACTAACAGCGCTCAGAAACGCAGAGCAGCTCACGCTTAATGCCAGCCTTTTACAGAACGACTGTCTTTCTGACGCACGCCAGGCCAGATTCTGATTCTCAAGCGTCTTAAGTGTCCATAAAAGTAAAATGAAATATGTGATAACACCATCGTCCTGCACGTGAGCAGGAACACCACCGTTATTCCAGTACTGCGATCACCATGGCAACATTTACACAGCATCGATTCTGTTATGAGGTACGGAACGACGTCTTTTTCAAAACATAAATGCAGCATCAGAGGAAGAACGTAAGATCACTGATCTATTGCTGCTTTTCCACCGCAGGGTACCAGCTCGACTCGACTCGCCTTTTTCAGTAATCCAACAGGCAGACGTAAAGGGACCCACCCCAGTATCTCACAGCGCGGGACTAATTTTCAGTGTTGTGTGCTGTGCGGTTGGGTAATCAGCCCACTGCAGGCGGGAGCGGGACAAAACACGCATAAAGAGAAATTCAGCATATTAATGAACAGCCTAAATAAAGTACAACGATCACTAAATCATATATAAACAATATAAATGATGACAGTAAAACAGTTAAAATGAAGGAAGTCGTTCTAAAGAGCTGTGAAGCTGCCAATCAGCAACAGGCAGATTCTCGTAGCTCACAGAGACGTGGGGCCTTCAGTCCGACGGCCACAGCTGACCAGCAAAACACCACAAATAACCGCTCTGTGTTTAATTCCTGCTGTGTTTACTGGGAATACAGTGAAAAACGAAGTAGCCGGCACCAAAAGCGAGCAGAGCTGAGGAGAGCCAGGTTGAGCTGTTACCATGCAGTAACATGGTAAAAGGCTAAAAGACCAGGCCTGTCTGGTCCATGTAATGTGAAGGTAAATGTACAGTGCAATGTAAAGAGGAATAAACTGTCCCCTAGTTGGTGTTCTCAGACGGACGACAGCAAATCGGATATTTTATTGTTTTCCGTGGAGCTGCAATGGAAAATTCTGCGTGGTGTTCTGCAGAACGCTCCACCACAACATCAATTTTCCCAAATTTTGCCATTGACTGCCGCAGTGGAATAAACCGGATGCTGATTTTTTGGGAGTCGTGGACACCAAACATCTCACTGTTGAACTCCAGATTAACCCAGTATTACAAAACACAAATAAAAGTGTGCAGAGCGCCTCCTGCCTTTCTCCACCTCAAATAAACACTCCACACCCATAAAGCTCTCCTCTCATAATCACCTACACCCTCAGAAATACAGGTACTAAACTGTCGCTGGGTCAGTTCCCCTCTCGTCACTGGGGTGGGACCCTCAGGGGTCCATCTCAGTACCTTTAGTCAGGGAACATAACTGAACCATAATCCACTGAAATGATATGTTCTAAGCTGTACTGACTCCACACACCCCGTCTCGTCTCCAGGACTTTATTTTGCTGTTCTGTTTAAAACATTCGGTTATGAAAAGGTACAAATACGAACTTTTCACCTGGAAAAACTGATTTAAGGTTCACAATCAGACCTTAAAACCACTGTTGGAGCTTTGAGGGAACATTTACACTGTTTGTACTTTGATGGATGAAAAATGTACCTGAACAGAACCATGTGAACCCAGCATTACTCATTACAGGGTTTTTTAATAGGGGCGACTGTTTTAAGCTGCACCATGTCATGTTTTTGTTTAAACTGAAAGAATATTATTACTGAGTGAGGAGAATAAAAACAGGCTAAAATATAGTGGACACTTAGACTATCAGGGACATTTGTGAAAAAGCCTACACAGCAGGCATTTTGAGCTACACAGCAGGCATTTACAGATGGGTGGTGCTAGACTTGGTCAGTGGGTGGGGCCCTAACTACCTTAACCATGTTGAATACTGAGCGTCGTTCTGTCTCTCCAGTCATGGTTTATTCATTTATTTATTTTTACAATAATAAACCATCATACTGATGAAGATATGATGGCAATAGTAGATAATTCACTGTCTTGGCTGATCAGCTGCTTCTGGGTTAAATTGAGAATCAGGCAAATTCGATTTTTTACCCCGACTGTTCCAGAAGAGAGAGAAAATCCTGCTCTGTCTGATGAAAACGCAGCCCTACAGACTCAGAGCGGCTCAGGGAGGCAGCGCTCGCAGCTGAGCAGACACTGATGCTTCTTCTCCAGCTTGCAGGAGTTTGGGTGAGTCTGCTGAGTTCACTGCGAGAGCGACGGCGTCTTTAACTTGTGAAACCTGAGGAGCTGTTTGATTTTATTCCTCTCTACACCTTTTACATCTGCACATCAGATCCACGCAGACGGCGCTCAGAGCGTAAACAGAGCCGAGAAACAGCAAACAACAGCAGCAACAACAGCTCGGCTATAACAGATCACTCTCGCAGAGGAGGTCTGTCTTCAGAGAGGATCTGACTCAGAGCAGAGCAGCTATCAGCACGGAGAACAAACGGAACCAGAACAGACTCAAACATTAACATCCAAAAACAAAACCACCGCGCATGAACAACATCAGCATGAACCTTAGAAAGCTTTCCAATGGCCCGACGTCAAAGCTGCTCACTCATAACGCTACGGAAACACAGCATAACAGCCTTCAAAACTTTGGAATCACTTGCTATATTAAATATGTGCAATTTGATATATAATCTAATTATACATTGCATAGAAAATGACATACCTGTCTCTTCTACACTGTTCTGTTCTGCTCTATTCTGTTTTATTCTATTATACATCATTCTACACTCTTAAAAATGGTGCTTCAAGGGTTCTTTAGTAAGGAAAATGGTTCTGTATAGCATCAAGAACACTCAAAGAACCCTAAGGATTCTTTGCGTGGTGAAACGGTTCTTCAGATTAATGGAGAAAGTATATACAGCACATTCATGCACATCTTCCATCAATCCAAAGAACCCTTTAATCATGCAAAGAGTTCTTTAAGTGTTCATGATTCTGTACAGAACCATTTTCTTTACTAAAGAACCCTTGAAGCACCATCTTTTAAGAGTGTATGCTATTTTAATCTGTTCTAGTCTATTCAGTTCTATCCTGCTCTGTTCTCTGTCTGCTCTGTGTATTATATTCTAATTCTTTAGAATAATTTACTTTAGAATCACTTGCTATATTAACTTTTGTTATTTGATCTATATGTTTATGTACTGCATATAAAATTACATACATATTTATTCTACTCTGTTCAGATCTGATTTAATTCTATTCCACTCTCAGTTCTACACTCATAAAGAGATGGTTCCTCAAAAGACAGTGATTCTATATAGAACCATTAACACTCAAAGAACCATTTCATGCTTAAATCTCTTCTGCATGGTAAAGTGGTTCATCAGATTAATGGAGAATGTGTTGTATCTGGTTCTATATAGAACTCTTTTGAAAATGGTTCTATAAAGCACCAAAGGGTTCTTCTGTTGTCTTGGCTTGACATTGGAAGAACAGCAGAACCCTTTTTGGTGCTATTTAGAACCATATACAGCACACTCTCCATCAATCTGAAGAACCATTTGACCATGCAGAGAACCATTCAAGCATGCAGACGGTTCTTTGAGTGTTCATGGTTCTATACAGAACCACTGACTTTACCCTTGAAGAACTATCCTTTTGAAAAGTGTCGGTAAGTAAATTTACCAGGTGAAATTGGCAGATAATCTTGCTTGTTTTAAGAAATGATGATTATATTATTAATATCGTCTGGCAGTGCAGTGAGATGATCTGCTACAGAGTAATGTAGAAGTACTGCACAGTGAGATCACATTTTGAGAGAAGTAATTAGTAACTTGTAATGGTTTCCTTTTTAGTAAAGTACTTACTGCAACATCGACATCACTGAGAATAACCGCTCCGATCACAAATAACAGCCATTTTTAAAATATTACATTATAGGTTATTAAACATCAACACACACTGTATCTAATCTGTATGGTCAAAGGGTCCCTTGGCTCATAGGGGGGGTGAGATCAGCAAACAGAGGAGTGAGATCAGTGTACAGAGGAGTGAGATCGGGATACAGAGGTGTGAGATCGGAGTACAGAGGAGTGAGACTGGCGTACAGAGGAGTGAGATCGGTGTACAGAAGAGTGAGATCGGCGTACAGGGGAGTGAGATCGGTGTACAGAGGAGTGAGATCGGCGTACAGGGGAGTGAGATCGGCATACAGAGGAGTGAGATCGGTATACAGAAGAGTGAGATAGGCGTACAGAGGAGTGAGATCGGCGTACAAAAGAGTGAGATCGGCATACAGAGGAATAAGATCGGTGTACAGAGGAGTGAGATCGGAGTACAGAGGAGTGAGATCGGCGTACAGAGGAGTGAGATCGGTGTACAGGGGAGTGAGATTGGTGTACAGAGGAGTGAGATCGGCGTACAGAGGAGTGAGATCAGCGTACAGAGGAGTGAGACTGGTGTACAGAGGAGTGAGATCGGCGTACAGAGGAGTGAGATCGGCGTACAGAGGAGTGAGATCAGCGTACAGGGGAGTGAGATTGGTGTACAGAGGAGTGAGATCGGCGTACAGAGCCGAACAGGCATAGGACGGTGTGCAGTTATGAATGTGAGTGTTGTGTTGAAGTGATGTGAAGTGTTGAGACCCCGCTGACCCCTCCTGACCCCCCTGAGCCCACAGCTACTTTAGATAACACAGTGTGGAGTTTTAGATAAACCCTGACGGCAGCTTCAGATACCATTACACACACACACACACACACACACAGGCGGAGGGAGGTGTGAGGAGTGTGAGGAGTGTGAAAGCTGGAGGACATGGTGTCACAGTGAAACAGCACCTGCAGTGATTTCTCTTTATATGATTTACTCCAATAAGACACACAGAGGTGTGTGTGTGTGTGTGTGTGTGTGTGTGTGTGTGTGTGTGTGTGTGTGTGTGTGTACCTTTCTGCAGGCTCATATCCACCATGCGAGGCTCGGCCAGCTCCAGGAAGAAGTTTTTATTTTTCTCGTACTCCTCATCATCAATTATTCTGACCTGGATGGTTTTACTGAAAGAGAGAGAGAGACAGAGAGAGAGAGATTATTATTAGGTCCAATCACATTAATCTGTGTAGTTATGGTGATTAGTCCCATTAATCTGTGTGGTTAATCGCGAATAATCACACTAGTCACATTAGTCTGTGTAGTTATGGCAGTTGGTCAAATTAATCTGTGTAGTTGTTGGGATTAATCGCATTAATATGTGTCAATCGCAATAAATCATGATAATCTGTGTAGTTTATCGTCATTATTCATACTGCTCTGTGTAGTTATTCATGATTAATCACATCAATCTGTATAGTTATGATGATTTGTTGCATTAACCTGTGTGGTTAATCATGATTAATCACATTAGTCTCCGTAGTTGGTAATTAGTCGCATTAATCTATGCAGTTAAACTCGATAAGTTGCACTGATCTGTGCAGTATTAGCAATTAGTCGCATTAATCTATGTGGTCAATCTTGATTAGTTGCATTAATCTATGTAGTTTTGGCAACTATTTGCATTAATCTGAATGGTTAATTGTGATTAATCACATTCATCTGTGGAGCTTTGTGGATTAGTCGCATTAATCTGTGTGGTTATCATGATTAATCACATTAATCTGCGTAGTTTTAGCAATAAATTGCCTAATTGGTGTGGTTAATCTCAATGAGTCGCATTAATCTGTGCAGTTTTGACCATTAGTCGCATTAATCTGAGTGGTTTATCACAATTAATCACATTAATCTGTGTGGCTTTGGCAATTAGTCACATTATTTTGATTAGCTGCAAGTAGTTTTGGCATTATTGGCATTAATCGGAGTGGTAAATCGCAATTAGTCGCATGAATCTGTGTGGTTATCATGATTAATCTCATTACTATGTAGTAGTTCATCACAGTTAATCACATTATACTGTGATGTTTCTGTGCTCAAACCTGACCCAAAATAAAGACTGTGTTATGTTTATAAAGCAGTGTGTTGTGTTGTGTGTGGCTGCATTAGTGGACAAAATGAGCTCCATCAGAATTTATTTATTATTTTCTAATACTTTATTTCTGAAACTGAACAAAACCAGCTCAGCATTACTGAAACAATAAGGCAAAAATATAATAAAATAATATGGCAATAACATAATCAGCTGTCTGACAAAATGCTTAAATCCTGCTTTAATGCTTTAGAGCTGTTCTCACACTGAGGGAGAGACACAGAGACAGAGAGGAAAGAGAGAGAGAGAGAGAGAGAGAGAGAGGAAGAAAAGGTTATGGCTAGGTGGGGGGTCAAAGGTCACTGTCCACAGTTCTGTCAAAATCTATTATCATTTCACTCACTCACTCACTCACACACAAACACACACACAGCTGAGTGTGTGTGTGTGTGTGTGGGTCTGAGCTGTGCTGATCACTTTAATTGACACTGTTTACTGTCACTTTAATTCACACTGTTTACTGTCTCAGTAACACTAACTGACCATTTAGACTCCAGAGGTCACTCAGCCCCATTACATCCTCTAGGGGGCGAAACAGAAAAAGCCAGACCATAAAAAGACAAACAAAACCCCCAAAAGCCCGAAATAACAAACCACAGACCTAATCAATAATTACAGCACAGCAAACGTCTTAGAGCAGAGTTTCTCAGCCACTCGACCACAAACCACGAGGGGGCCGCAAAGCGCCTGCTCAGTCCTCGGGCCAATACTGAGCGGGGGCCGGTGGTCCATAGTGGGCTGGTGATGGACTTTGTCTTAAAAATAAGTGAAAAAATGACTGAACGCTAAAAAAATGAAATGTTTTCAAACTATTTATGTTCACTGATTGGCGTTAGGTACTGCAGGGCTTGGCACCCAAACACAGCTGTATTTAAAATCTCCCAAAATTATATTTTTAAGCAAAGACGTTGAGTTTTGTTATCCTGTGGGCTTTAATGCCTTCAGATAATAAACAGGTGGGTCTTGAGGCGGAACACGTAGAGAACCTTAGAGCACCTAAACACATTTTTTAAAACCCTTTATCTCAGCAGTGAGTGTGTTTATGCCAGTAAAATCTCCATATATCATTAGAATAGATACAAATAAATACAGTAATAAGAATTTTGACAAAAGTATGTGGACACACTCCTAATTAGTGAGTTCAGGTGTTTCAGCACATATCCTTGCAGTCTCCATAGACAAACACTGGCAGTAGAGGGTCGTACTGAAGAGCTCAGTGACTTTAAACATGGCTCTGTCATAGGATGCCACCTCTGCCAGAAGTCAGTCTGTGAACTGTCTGTCCTGCTAGATCTGCCCCAGACAACTGTAAGTGCTATTATTGTGAAACGGAAGCATCCAGAAGCAACAACAGCTCAGCCACGAAGCGCTAGACCACTCAAACTCACAGAGTGATCCCCTGTTGAATCACTCACTGCAGAGTTTCAAACCTCTGGAAGCAACATCAGCAAAAGAACTGCACGCTAGGAGCTTCATGAACTGGGTTTCCCTGCCTGAGCAGCTGCACACAAGCCTAAGAACACTATGCGCAATGCCAAGTGTCGGCTGGAGTGGTGTAAAGCGCCGCCACTGGACTCTGAAGTGATGAATCAGCTTCTCAGCAGATAGAGATTAGATTTCTGAAAAACGCTGGACTGTTCCTCTGCAGTCTGCATGCTGTATAGTGCACTGTGAGTGATGACTGTTGTCCGGCTGCGGCCGTCTGCGCTGGTCGGCTGCAGTTCTGTGTTAAATGTAGCACCGTGTCCTGAGCTGCATTGAGAAAAGCCACAATGAAGCTTGATTAGGTTTGAAAAGCTGCGCTCAGATCAGACAGAGACTTTCAGCAGCTCTGATTTACGCAGCTGCTCCACACTTACAAATAATTTACACCTCCTCTCTCCCTGCCTTCACTCCAACAGCTGCTCCTCTATCACTTATACATACCAGCGCTGTCGACCGGGACCACAAATTAAATCTCAATTCTGTCCTTGTTTGTTGTCCAATGCATTATTTTTCCAGATGCATAATAAATAAAAAAAAATCCAAAAAAATGAGCATCCTCAGAATCTCACCTGTCATTCACTGGTCTGACGGGGTGCGTTCGAGGTGAGGGGAAAAACAGTGCAGACTTGATTTTTGACCAAAGTCTTACCTTAAAATCATCCCATAAATAAATGCTATAAATTAACAATTAAATTATCGTAAATAACGCATGTAGTGCCCCCCCAGAATCAACCGCAGCTACTAAAAATGATAAAAAAACAAATAAAACTAATTTGAATGCAGCATTTGTACTAGTGGACTTTTATGTTTTATTCATATATTTTAAAAGCCTCCCGTAGCTGCACTGTTTACGTTAATATTGTATGTTCATTAAAGCAAGCCGAATCGCTTCTCTCGCCCCCTGCTGGCCGCTTTGCGAGCGCCTTACTAAAACACACACAGGTTGAGGTGGAGGGAGAGTGTGAGCAGAGCTGTAGGACATTTCTGAGCCCAAAAGCACCTAATATTGTTTTTAAATATAAAAAAAAGTTTTATTAACTGATCAATTATCTTCTGATCAGTGCGCATTCACGTGTGTGACTGTGGGAGTGACACTATTGATTACTGCTGTTTAATGTAAATTGTCAAAGAATTCAAATGAATTCAAAATTCAAATGAAATGAAGACCCCGCGTGCCAGTGTCTGACTGAACATTCAAAAGGAGCCTAAACGCAGCCCAGAATCTCAGCTGTACAGGCTGTAGGGGCTGTCACGATTACTCGATTAATTGATTAAAAACGGCATACTTGACGATCAGCTTACTGATTAGTTTCGTTTCCATTCATTTGAAAGGTAAACATTTTATGGTTTATCAACACTGAGAGCGTTAGACCCTCAGCAGTGCGTTTGGGTTAGAGTTGCAGATTTTTTCACTCTAAAAGTTGTGAGTGGTTAAAAAAAGGGTCTCTGCAGGATGAGCTGAGTCTGAAGGTGAAACAGGAGAAACACTGGAGGATAATGGAGAGTGTCAGAAAGCCTGGAGAGAGAGAGTGAGTGAGAGTGTGTGTGAGAGAGAGGGAGAGAGAGTGAGAGAGAGAGAGAGAGAGATGAATTTAAAGCTGTGAGTCCAGAACAGGCAGCGCACTGTCAAAAAACACAACACACGCAAATAGATGATCCTTAAAGTCCACAACTGGATACCTTCAGTGAGCGGTTGCATGCAAAAGTTTGGGTAATTATAATTATTGGGTCCAAGAATTTATCACACTCTGAAATTGTCCTCAGCTGACAGTCCCTAAGGACAATACCTGACCTGCCTCACCAGTCCTAACGAGTCAATTAAGGCCTAACGAGTTAAGCAGTGATTGCTCACTGATTACAACAGTCCCTCAGAGAATGGTGTCCTTAAATACAGCTTTTTGATTGGACGTGCAGTTTTTGTATAGTGATCGTTAGGTGTTTTTTTTACAGAACTGCGTGGACAAATGCACCCCACTTACATTATGACAATACAAATACACAAGCAACATCCTAGGATGTAGGATCCCATAGCAACTGCCTAGCAACATTCTAGTAGCCACTGGCGATACCATGGCAAACACTTAGCAGCACCCTAGCAACCACCTGGAACACTACAGCAACCATCTAGCAACACTCCATCGACATCCTGGGATACTACAGCAACCACTTCACAACATCATGGCAAACACCTGGGATACCATAGCAAACACTACGCACACTTCACAACCACTTAGCAACACCACTTGGAAACCACTTGGAATACTGTCACCACTATTTGGAAACAACACCCTAGCAACCACCAGGAATACCAAAGCAACCACCTAGCAACACCCTAGCAACCACCAGGCACATTTTCCAACCATCTAAAACCATCTAAAATGCTATAGAAACCTTTTGGGAACACCCTAGCAACCACCAGGCACATTTTGCAACTACCTGGCAACACCCTAGCAACAACCTGGAATGCCATAGCAACCTCCTAGCAACACCATAGCAACCAACTGAAACACCACAGCAACCATCTAAAATGCTAACAAAACCTTTTGGGAACAC